ACCATCTTAAGCAAGTAATCAAATCCAATCCCTAGAACATGCTCATACTTCCATCTCTAGATGTTGGAGTAACATGCCTTTCAAAAATATAAGTGCAACATTAAATTAAAATGCCACATTATCCATTGTACCAAGCTAACAGAGACTCGGCATAGAGCAAAACCGTAAACAGAGCAAGGCACAAAAGGGGAAAAGATACCTCCTTGAAGCAAAAAAGAAAGCAACACAAGAACTCTAAACGCACTCCCCAATTTCAATTACTCCTCCAACAATAAGAGGAAATCAATTCAAGCACCAAAAGATCAAAGAAGTGAGTGAGAAAGGAAAAGAGCAGAGTTTTCTCCCTTGGAAAGATTTTCGGCCTCTCCTTTGGGTCCCCCCAAATGGGATAAATATATCTATTAGGGAGAAGAGGAGCTCGCTTAAACTCACCTACCGCAGACCAGAAGCGAGGGAAGCGGGAAGAAGGGCGACAATCGTCGCAGAGAGGAGCAGGGATAAGAGATCGCGCCTGGGGGGTTTGCGGCTCGAGAGGCCGCGACATCATGAGAAAAGAGATAAGGATTTGCCGCAGGGGATGGGTCTCACAAACGCGTGCGCAAGAGGCATCAACTGGCTCACGAACGAGACAGAGGAAGGCGGAGCGAGCTAAGGCTAACCCCGAGGGTTTAACGGGAGAAGGAGAGAAATGAAGTTAGGTTAAGGACTTTGATATAAGTTATTAATTATAATAATAATAATAATAAAATGTTATTTATAATTAACACTTAAATAAGTATTTTCTCCAAGACGCACCGCCGCAATGAAGCGAACGTCCTTCTTAAGCAAAATCGACGTTCCGAACGCGTCGACGCAGTCCGTTTCGTCATCCGGAGTCGTCCGGGCAACCTTGTCGACGATTGGGACCAAAATGCGTCGCAGTTCGAATCGTATCAAATTTCGGTTCGAATTCGATTAAACAGGACGGCGAAGAGCGCAGCGGCGCCAAATCAGCGAGTAGAGTCAATCCTAAGGCTGTCAGTCCTATAGGAGTGCTCCCTCCTTCGGAGTAGTCTTACCTACTAGGCAATAGCGGTCAAAACTACCACATGGAACGTCAAGTCGAGCGAAGAAAAGTCCAGAATTGCTAACGGGGAGGGCTCTTTCACTAATTTTCTAGGAGTAGTCGACAGAAAGGTCCTACGGCTAGATCCTAGGCTATTAAGGAGGGAAAAAACCACACCTTGACCGAAAGCGAGGTCAACAATGCCAAAACGAACCAAACACGATCGAACAAAGGGTTATTCGTGTTTGACTCGTTTATAAATCGAGCTAGAAAAATATGTTTTGTTCGGCTAACACGAGCTGTTCGCGAACAATGAACTTTTTTGCAGCCCTAGATAGGCGGTTATAACTAACACCATAAAAATGGAAAATAATAATAGACAAGACACATGACATACGACTAGGGCTGCTCTTAGGAGGTGTTGATGACAGTTAGGGGCTTAGAAAGGTGGTGACAGAGTGGTAGGTGGGCTGGACAGCGGAGGAACAACAATTAGAGGTGGTTCAGAGCAGTTGGAGCAACAACGAGGAGGATTCTGCCGGTTGTCACAGTAGTAGGGCTGTCAGAAGAATGATTCTGGTTGGTTGGCTGCAAAGAGGAGGCAAGCGGAATGGTTCCGGGTGGTTGGGACTACAACAGGGGTGTTGTAGGAATGATTATGGGCGGTTGGAAACGAGGAGGCGGCAAGGGAGGTGGTTTTAAGTGACCAAAACAACAACACATGATTATAGCTGTTGGAACAACAACAATGTCATCGGAGGAAAGATTTTGGATGACCGGCAACAAGGAGGGGGCAGTTGGGAGAGCAGAAATTGTAGGAAAATAGTCAAGATGTGGCTGTCTACATGCGTTGCAGTGAAGCAGGAGGGATGTGGAGTTGTGTAAGAGTAAACACCACATACAGCCGAAGCACCATTCGCTCTCGGATACAACCCTATAAGAGAAAACATGGGACACCGATGGCTGTTCTGACAGAAGCATAAGCAAAAACTGAAAACCTAAAATAAAAGAATCACATATATAAAATCTAGATAATTAAGATTGGACCCCTCTGTGCAAAGGAGGTGTCAATCCCTCGTGGTAGAGCCAGCCCAGTTGTTCTAGAACACACAAGATCTCTTGCGCTCGTGAAATCCTGCATCATTCCCCCGCTCCCATGATTGTGACTTCTCACACCTAGCCTCCCGCATCATGGTTTCTTCTTCACCTCTTCATGTTTGACTTATCTTGTTTTGATATAAAATATGGGGGTAAAATTCAGTCATAAAACTTTCCTTTTTCTACTCCCCTCTCTTCACATTCTAATTTTCAAGAATTATGGATGCATCATTTTAAATAAATACAAAATTGGAGGGGAACAACTAAAATGTCCTTTTATGATTAGGTGGATTTTAAATCTGAAGGGAAGGCCCTCCCTCAGGCCATGCCTTCGCTCTTGTGTGTGTTTTCATCAATTTTGGTTAAAGTTGTTTGTTATTGCAATACTTGTTTGATTTTCACAGCGTTCTATAATTGTCCATTTTGCTATGTTCATATGTCTTCTTTGTTATTGATTTATTTTCTATGGAATTTATGCTTATATTCTAATAGGCGTTTCTTCTCTCTTATTTGCTTTTCTGGTTCAGAGAGATGACATTGAAGTGCTTGATGAACCCCTCTATGCAAATTTTTTGAGGATTACTGGTATTGAAAGACCATATCGCAACGAGCTTCTTTCCAATATGGTAAATTCAATTGCTGAAAATTTTTCATGCAAGTCCTCTTTTTCCCATTGTAATATATTTCTTGTCACTAATGAAGTACTATATAAATTCATAATATTTGGCAAATATTTCCTACATAACTTGTTGGATGATGCCGCACTTCCGCTGCAAATTTCTTACACTGATAAAATAGTTCCCCCACATCA